ATCCAAGGTTTAGCAAAACGACCTTTCCCACCCCTCAAGTTTCAAAATGACATTGTCTCACCCTTTATTAGGTTATGTTATATTTTCTATTAATATTTAATTGAAAAGATGAAAAATACCCTTAAATATTTGATTTTATTATTTTTTATTAGCTAAAAAGTCAAATATTAAAAGTAAAAAAAAAAATAATTAGTCCCAACTAAAAAATTTGGAATAATAGTTTGGAATTGTTTAAAATTAATTAACCTTAATATTTATTTATTTATAATATCATCAATATCTCACCATTATTATTTAATAAGTTACTAAATTTATAATGTTTTTCATAATATAATATTTTTTTATTTTTACTAATTAACATAGAAAATTAATATTCCTAATTAATTAAATAAATAAATAAATAATTATCTTTACACTTAAACTAATAAATAATGTAGTGAAGACTTTGACTTAACTCAATTTTAATTTATAATAAACTAATTAAAAAATAAACTATTTAAAAATATTTTTATCTTTTTAATTAAATAATAACAGAAAATACTAACCGGATAAGGGTTAGAAAGTGACATGGGCAAAATCAATTAATATATAAGCCCACTCAAATAATTAGAGAAGAAAGATAATAACTACTCATCTAAAAAAGTTTCTTTTAATTTGTAGATTGTTTATATACTCGTAAGGGATCAATTTTGTTTGCAAGATGATATTTACTGGATAAGCATCAAAAAGGGCTTCTGTTAATCGGACTTCTCCCATTGAAGAATGAAGATAAACATAAACTAGTTCACATCAAATTACGAATTATTTGTGTCTCTTACTGTAAGAAGCGACCAGGCTCCAGTTTGTGAGCGAAATTTTGAGTCATCCTTTAATTCACCCTTCTAATGCAAAGAGTTGATGAATGAATACAATTTGTTTCTAATTTAGTGGTTCGTTATATATATCAAATTTTGTTATGCCTAAAAAATTAGAGTTGACATTAGCCTATATCAGCAAATATCAATTAGAGTTCAGAAAGACTTTACACCACCTAAGAATTGCTACGTCGCTTCATGACAAAAAGAATATGGTTGTCATCACCTTGACAGATTCAGGTTTTATCTATGAGTGATTGAGGCCACACACATGTCCAAACCTTAGGTAATTTGAGGATATTTCTTAAGTTATGAGTCAATGGGAGACAAGAAAAAACTTACATGGTATAAATTTGTGATCATTACCTTGAATTTCTCTATTATAAATAAATGACTCCTGCTCTCATTTTCGAGATTCTGATACTAAACCCGCTCTCTAATTGTAATCTTTATTTTTAGAGCAAAGATAACTTATGAGAAAGAGACTGACTTAATATTCTTTTTGAATAATCAATTGTTGTACCTCTACTCATTGTTCGTTATACACGACCTCTTATAATCTCTCATATACAAAAGAGACAGTAGATATAGGATTTGCTTTAAACATCTAAACTACTTTAAAAATCGCATGTCTCATTTATTATTCAATATTTATAACTAATCATAATCATTCATATACAAGAATAATTTAATATTTTACACGTAGGAGTTGTGAGTTGTAAAATCACACATCAACAAATTTACTTGTTTTTCTGGTATTTTATAATATATTATAAACTTTTAAGGGCATTGGACATCTGGAAAGATAGTTTATCTATATTTATTACTGTAGGTAAGACATAACGACTTACACATATCTAAAGTTTGACAAAACAATAAGTTGGTATTTAAAAGATTTTAAAACGACAAATAAATATCTTCCATCATGTTTTGTTAGTGATTTTCGTTTGATAATAGTGAAAAAACTAAAATGCCCTTGAAAATTTGATATTTTAGTTTTTTATAAATTTAAAAATTTCTAAAAACCCCCCTAGACTTGCTAATTTGACTAAATACCCCAATATATAAAAATTTTATAAAATAACAAAAACACCTCCGCTACGCGCAGTGCCAGATTCTGGTCACCACTGTCGGAATCTGGTCAAAAAATTACGTTACGACACAGAACCGTCAGATATGTGTCGTAACACTTCGATCTGGCCTTTTCCGGCCAGATCCGTCACGGATCTTGCCAAAAAGGGTCAGATCTATATCTGGCCTTTTTCGGCCTCGACGGCCAAATCTGGAGGTCACAACACAAATTCGACGGGTATGTGTCGTAATGTAATTTTTCGACCAGATTCCGACCTCGACGGCCAAATTTGGCCGTAGATCTAGTCTTTTTCGGTCCGATCAGTCACAGATCTGGCCAGAAAACGCCAGATCTATATGTGTCGTAACGCAATTTTTTGGCTAGATTCCGACAATAGTGGCCGAAATCTGACACTACGGGTGACGGTGGTGTTTTTGTTATTTTATAAAAAAATTATATATTCAGGTATTTAGTTAAATTAGTAAATCTAGGGGGTTTTTTTATAAATTTTTAAATTTATAAAAAACTAAAATATCAAACTTTCAAGGATATTTTAATCTTTTTAAATAAAAATCACTAAGAGTATACTACGTAAAATATTTATTTATTATTTTAAAACCTTTTGGGTATTTTAAAACCTTTTGGGTATTAACTTATCGTATGCATAAGTCGTTCAGCCGGTAAGTAATGACTTATAACTCTTGTCAGTTTAGGTGAATCTAGTCCATTCATTCTCAGTCTGACTTATATCCACCATTCTTATATTATATAAATGGGGAGGTCCCTCCCCTCCATAATGGCTCTGCAACAAATCTTTAATCTGGTAGAACATGCGTATGTTAGTGTCAAATATATTTGACGGGTTCTGTGAACCTTACGGAGAGAACTGAGAAGGCCAGACATTCAACTTTGGGAGAGCATCGAAGCCACCAGACTCAGAGTTGTCGTTTTCTACTTTTTAAAACCCTCATGTTTCTTGCCATAAATAATTTACCGATTAGATCAAAAGTAATTTCTTCTGATTTTTTATTTTTTATTTTTGATTTTGATTTTTGATTTTTGTTGTGCTCTCACACAACAGCTAAACCTATCTTGTTTGCTTTTTGAAATAAACATGAAATCACTATCACTGTATCACAAGGAGGTTTCAAAAATACTACTAGTCCTATAATAAATTTAATCTGTCCTTTTGGTGCTGCATGCAAACACGATGGTTCTGTTTTAGAAACATTGCCTGGAAAATTATTCTGTCAAGAAAGCACTCCAGGACTCAGAAAATATAGTATGTAAAAACAAAATACTTGGCTTCCTTTGGTTCAAAATTGGGAATACTACTTTTAATATTCCTAAAAAAGTTAAACAGTAAAATACCCAAAAACTCTGATTTTTGGGAATACTACTTTCAATATTATTCAATTTTATTTAAACCCTCTAAATTTGTTAATTTAATTAAATACCCTTAAACATTTTTTTTTAAATTACAAAAATACTCCAACAATCAACCGCCGGAAAATGGTCGGAATCTAGTAGGATGGAGCACTACCAGCTGAATATGGACGGTAGTGCGCCGATCTAGTCTTTTTCAGCCAGATCCACTGTGGATCTGGCCGGAAAAGGTTAGATCTTTGGCCGTAACAATCGGTCATGACGACCAACAAACGGTCATCGCTGAGAGCAAATATGACCAGATCTGACTGTAGATCTGGACTTTGCCGGCCAGATCCACCGTGGATTTGGCTAGAAAAGTCCATATCGGCGCATGACCGGCAAGATCCAGCCGGTCATGCGCCGATAAGGCGACTCCGGCCACCTCCGATGGTGGTGGCCGGCTGGGGGTATTTGAGGGTAGGTTGGGGGTGTTTTGGTTAACTTTTAATGTTTTATTATAGGAGGTATTTTGTAAAAAAATAAACATAGGGGGTATTTTATTAATTTATAAATCCTACATCTTAATACTCGTCAAATTCAACTTTTTTTTAACTTTTTTCAAAAAACTTTTCCCAAAACCCCCAAATTTTGAGCAAAATGTAAACCATATTTTTACTATTTACAATTGTATAGCTTTCAAATTTATTTATTAATGAAATTGGAGTAAACTACTTTTTTTCTACCTAAATAATGGTTTAATGACATTATTTTATCCATTAATTATTAATGTATTATTTTACTATTTAATTTATATTCTATTTCTGATTTCGATATCATTGCCACCTAATACCACTACTACTCTCTTCTTCAATCATCAATTGCCAAAGTCTCTCAAAATCTTATTCCTACAGATCCTATCAATCATCGACAATAAAGTGATTAGAGTTTATTAGGATTTATATAATCACCTCTGTTAAATTAAATTTCGATCAATTTTAATTACTAAAATTCAATTTTTTACTATTAAAAGATTTATGGGTTTTATCTCCCAAAAAAATCTTAATAATCTAAATTAAATTGATCACCAAAATTTAATTTTTTACTTTTAAAAGATTTATTGGTTTTATCTCCTCAAAAAGTCTTAATAATCTAAATTAAATTTGCTGTTTAAATAATGAAATAGTATTTTAAAAATTGATGTCGAAAAGTGTCTTTAACCCATTCTTGGGGCGGAAAGAAGTTGTTAAACTCATAAAACTGTAATTAGTGCGGGGTCTGCTTCTTCGAATGTCAATTAAAATCCATGAAACGTCACCCGTCGATCGTCATGATGAGCCTAGACTAGACAAAGACAAATACAGACTTGTTTAAATCAGTTTGGTGACCCACGTAATTCCTATTGATACTTGTAACGAGTTTGTTTTTTTCTCTTGGAGTAAACGTCAGTTCGTATTGCACGACGCTGATGGTAAAAAAATTTGCCTATAAAGCCTACAATTATTTGAGTTGGGTGGACCAAACCGGATATAAAGTGAATTATTGCGGTACAACTGTAAAGAAAAGAGTTGATAATACAGATAGTCATTATTAGAAAGAGAAAACACTTTATATTTAATTATTTATTGAAAATGACACGTGAGTCAAAGTTAAACAACACTGGGTCAGTAGACTGTGACGCTGAGTAAGGACTGAGGTAGATCAAGTATTTATATGGCCGTAAGCGAGTGGAAACGATCATCAGAGACATCCATTAGAGAGAGAGAGAGAGATACCTGGAAAAACATATACATGTGAAAGTTTCAAGACGAAGAAGTTCGGTGATTAATTTTCGAAGAAAATTTTCAGGTTTTTCTTTTGGTCTTTGTAATATATATTTTACTTGGTGTTCTCTCATTAATTGTTTCTAGTTTCCCATTCAATTTTGGAGATTTTTAGGAAACAATTTCTTTTTTTGTTATTATTTAATGGCATGATAATTCCTGTAATTTGTTTCCTTTACGTAGCAAGCTACATAGCAGAAACCCAGGACGACTCTCCTGGAAGATTTAAAACTCAAATTGACAGTTATACGAGCAGCACTACGTTTATACCTTTTTCATACAACTCAAAAAATATGGTAGTTTGTTAGTTTGTGATCAGTCAGCTTGTACTGGTTTTTTCTATCCAAATGTAAACTGATCGCGAGTTTTCACCTCAGTATAAAAACGTTGTATGAAAAAGTTGTAAGTTTAATCTTACTCTAGTTATATAATATAACAGTTGTTGGGTAGTGAGTCGGTATATAAAAATCGGTATTTGGGTCGGTAAATATAGTATTACTGATAATATAACTAGAAAAAAAAAAGTAGATTTTATCTTAATATTTTCTATTTTTCATGTCTTTCCTCTAGCTTGAGTAAACCATTCTGAACATTTATGTACATGTACAGTTGTCTTAGAAAATAATGCAGGAATAATATGCATCGAATCATTCATCTTTTTATTTCAAACTTATGAGATGTTTATAATTTGTGATTATTTGCCAACTTGGTTTTAATTATCTGCTATCTAGCTTGCGTATGTTTAGAATTAACCACTTGAGAAATCAGATTCGAATGCGAAGATGAAAGATTTAATTTAGTTTTGAAAGTTGATTGTATTTTTATTGTGATAATTAGTTGTCTGTTTACATCCAGGAGTGTGAAATTGTCGAAGTTAAAAGTGAATCACTGACGAATAAGGAAATCCTGTCAGACAAGATTTCAGGCTAAGATGAATGGGTCAGAAAGTTCCTCTGAAGATAAGCATCAAAACGGAGACGAGGTAGCTATTGATATCGACGACAACGTGGAACGTCCAGATTGTTGTATTTATAAGGTTCCTAAGAAACTTAGGAACATAAATAATGATGCTTACACTCCTCACATTGTGTCGATCGGTCCTTATCACCATGGCAAAGAAAAATGGGATGACGGGCAAAGCAAAAAAGAATGGAAATGGGATGAAGTGGAAAGCAAAAAAGAAGGGAAATGGGATGACATGCAAAAGCTAAAGAAGAGATATCAGGGAAAGTTTTTTAAGAAGATCCTGGAGAAAGAGCAAACCAAGAATTTTGTCGAAGAAGATGAACAACGTATCCGCGCTTGTTATAAAGAAACATTTGAGGTTGTCAAAAAAGAGGAACAACGTATCCGCGCTTGTTATGAAGCAAAATTTGAGGATTTCGATTCAGTGGAGTTCAATAAGATGATTCTGGATGATGCTGTCTTCATCATTGAACTCTTCTCGAGGAATTACAAAGTTGGTACAAGAGATTTTTTCCTAAGTAAACCATGGCTAACAAATGCTGTAAAACTGGACTTGCAATTACTTGAAAATCAGCTTCCATACTTTGTCCTGAAAAAGTTATACAAGTTAGCCTATGGAGGAGTATCTCCTTCCTTCGTTACTCTTTCTTGCAAGTTTTTCGGTTATAAGGAGCCAGCTGGAAAAGCTAATTGGGATGACAAAATTAAACATTTTGTCGACTTGAGAAGACATACTATGTTGGTCAACGGCAAAATCGATCAAAATTTCCCAAAGTCTCTACGCGGAAAAATTGAAGATTTACCAAGTGCAGTGAAGCTAAATGAGTCAGGGGTGAAGTTTAAGTCGGTCGAAAACAAAGATGCAGTGAAGACGGATGAGTCAGGGGTGAAGTCTAAGGCCGTCGAAAACAAAGATGCAGTGAAGACGGATGAGTCGGGGAAGAAGTCTGAGTCAGACAAAGAAAACCAAGAAGAAATAATTTTACTTAAGATAGAATTTGGAAAGAGAGAAAGAAAAGACTCATGTATTCCGAGGCTTAGAGGAGATGTGCTAAAGATTCCACGCCTTAAAATTGAAGATGGTACGGAATGTTTATTTCGAAACTTGATGGCCTTGGAGCAGTGCCATTATCCATTTGAAACTCATATTTGCAACTATATTGATCTAATGGATGCTCTGATCAACACGAGAAAAGATGTGGATTTGCTTGTTGACCATAGAATCATCTCTAATTGTGTGGGCGACCATGATTCAATTAAAGAGATGTTTAACAGACTTTGCCTTGAGATTACGCAAAGTACTTCCTGTTACAAACAAATTTGCGACGGGCTGAAAAAACACCACGACAGATGGTGGAATCGCACCAAGGCAACGTTGATAAGTGTGTACTTTGAAAATCTTTGGAGAGGCACTGGAACTGTTGCTGCCACCATACTGTTGCTGCTCACTCTGTTACAAACCATCCAAAGATTCTATCCGGAACTGTTTATGCGTAAAAAATAATTAAAGTTTTTTGTGAATCTAGTACTTGTATAATTAGAATGTCTACTTCCTACTACTAAGCTTGTAATAACTTCGGATCTGTAGCTTTCATATATAATAATGTATTCTCTTTGACGCCATATGTATTGTTCACCCATTTGCAATAATATATTGTGCTTTCATATATATTTAAGAATGTGTATTCTGAATGACCTTAGATATCCCTTATCAATAAGTTTATTTATATTAAAGAGTTAATGAAATTATACCTCAATTTAATAAAAAAATATGGGTTGGGGTATCCTATGTTACAAGAGCAAAAGAACAAAAACAAGAACAAGAACCCACGCATGGCTAGTCCGGTATGTGCATGGCTTCCACTGCAAGATTAATCGAAGTGCATCAACTTTAAAACAAAACAAAACAAAAGAAAAAAAAAAAAAAAGTTTAGGTAGAGTCAGAGCGAACAAAGCTCGGGCGGGCCATAAACAAAATATCAAAGCCCAAAAACAAGAAGCAGGCCCGTATACTTGGAGCCCAAGAGCGAGGCGATCTGACAATGGCAATGGAGGTGGAGGAGATTGGTGGTGGTGGGAATGGAGTTAATGGGATACACACTCACTAGTGGTGGGTCCTGGCAAGCACAGCCCAATTGGGATGGCGTATATCATTTTTCAGAAAAGGCTACGCCGGCGATTTCCGTCTCATGCCCGTTTAACCGTTTGGTATCGCCGCCTCCGCCTCCATCGCTTTTCTTCGAGCCTCTGGCATTCACAAGGTGTCAAATAATTCTATGTACATGATTTTGTTGGTGTTATAAATTACTGGAGTATTAAATATTTCTTTATTTTGGAAAAAAAAGAAAAAAATTACAGGTGGAAGACCTAATGGACGTGGGTGCAAATATAAGAACAGGACTTGGAATCCGTTGTAGAAGAAGTGCCCAGTAAGTTAAATCATTTATTTTCAGTTGAAATTATAATATATGTTTCCTATTAGTAATCGATAACTATTTACTTTTGGTTAGGAAGATAGATGATCTGTGAGAAGCGAAGAGACTGGAGTTTGTAGCTTTGGCATGATTTTGATAGTTTATGCTCTTTTCATGGCGAAACTCGCAACAGAGTTATTAGTTATTACTAGCAATTGTTTAAAAGCTTTTGGCTGTGTTTATTTCCCTATTCAAACTATCCAATTTTAATCTATTCAACTCAAAATATTTAAATTTTTTTAAACCCTAAGTTTGTTAATTGAACTAAACACCTCCAATAATAAAAGTTTATAAATTAATAAAAACACCCCCATCCACCTACATATTCCCGACAGTTGGTCACCACCGCTGGAAGGTGGCTGGAATCTGTGCAACAGGCTGGATGTGGCCGATCTTGTGCTGATGTGGTGGATCTAGCCGAAAAATGTCAGATCTACGGCCAAAGATTGAGTCGTTGACGGCCATATCTGTTCGTCAACGACGACCATATCTTTACTGTCGTTGACGACCAGAAGACTGCCAAGATATGACCGTCATCAACGGCCAGATCGTTGGCTGTAGATCTGGCCAAAAAAGCATAGATCAGCGCATTATCGATTAGATCCAACCGATCGTGTGCCATTCTCGTGATTTCTGGCCACCATCCGACAGTGGTGGCCGATTGTCGGCATTTGATGGAATGATAGATGTGTTTTTATTAATTTTAAAACTTTTATTATAAGGGGTGTTTAGCTAAATTAATAAATATAGGAGATCAAAAAGTAATCTAAATATTTTCTAAAAATGTTTTCCAAAAATTTACCAAACACATTTTTAAATTGTCATTGAAATCTTATTTTCATAATAACAACCTAACTCAACTTTTTCAAAAATATTATTCTAAATACTCTAACTTAACTTTTTTAAAAATACTATTCTAAATACAATACTAACTTCTTTGTATTTTTGTCCACTTTACTACTGGGTTCTAGTTGTATTTTGCTTGGCGTTATATCTGATCACGATCACCCTCAAGGAAATGACGCAAAGGGTTGCGGAATGTTTAATTTCTTTAAGAAGAAAGATGAGGAGGAATCTCAAGACGATGTGACATGGTAGATGCTAATTCAAGGAAAAAGATGAAAAGCCTGCTCCAACGGAAACGCTTCAACGATCTCATATCAACTCCAGCTTTGTAAGCTCTCATTAACCTTCACATACTAAACAGATATTGTTTTGTTATAAGCAACAATGGTGTTTTGCTATCAACCTTTTACTAACAAAGCAGGTTTATTGAAACTTGCAGTCAAGTGAACAGGAGGACGAAAATGGGGAGAAGAAAAAGAAGAAGAAGCAGGGATTGAAGGAAAAGATGAAGGAGAAAATCTCTGGTGAAAAGGAAGAAACTACAGAGAACAAAGACTCTTCCATTCCAGTAGAGACATTTGATGAGAAAGCAAATGCAGAAGCAACTCATCAAAATGACAGAGAAATTATGCAGTTTAATATATGGGTTTTAAAATTCGGGTTATGATTCGGGTACCTGAAAACCGGTTCAGGTATTGGGTACCCTTATAATATGAACCGAATTTTCGAGTTGGGTCTGAATTTTCGAGTTGGGTTGGTTAAAGACAAAGTTAGTTTAGGTACCCAGTTTTGCACACTCTAACTCTGACGCTCAAGGCAAAGTCAGTTTAGGTACCCAGTTTTGCACATTCTAACTCGGACGCTCAAGGCAAAGTCAGTTTGGGTACCCAGTTTTGCACACCTTTAACTCAACGCTCAAGTTAATATAGTTGAAGGGAATATTTAGTAAGGCTGAGAGTGAGAAAGGTTTACCGGGAGTGACTACCGTCACCACTCTATGACAACTACTAGAAGACAACTATATAGAAGTAAAGTTAGTTGGAACTGAGCTTTGCGGTTGGAAAAAGGTGGTGATTCTTAAGAGCAAGAACTTAGTAAACGAGTGAGATGAGCTGAATGTGAATTGATAGTGAAAGGGGTTGACCTCTGGTCATATAGTGTGCCAATGAAGCTTGAGTCCTTGTAGAACTAAACGTTCTCATAATAAGATTTTGAGTAAATAAGGAACTCGTAATGCTAATTCATGTAGAAGTAGAAGTACTAATTCATGTAAGATTATGAATCTTGGATGAATTAGGAAATAAAAACAAAAACTATGAGTTCAATTTGAATATGGGCTAATGGGTTAGAGCCCGATTTAGTTTAATCTTGTAGAAAAGCCCCAACTCGTGGAGAGGCCTAAAGTCTACGTCGGCCCAGCTTGCAGGGTGGCTCTGATTGTAGAGTGACCTAACTCGTACAATAACCTAACTGATGGTATGGACAAGCTCGTAGAGTGGGCTGGCCCAATAGAATGGATATTATTAGAAAATGGGTCATCCTACTTGATAGTCTTTTCACAAGATGGATTTAAACGTGGGTTCAACCAAAATTGGGCTAAAACACTAGCTGTACATAACGTTTATTTTGTTATTGGGTTTGATAAGGTCCAATATAATTTTTGGCGGATACAAAACTTTATTTTGAGTGTGTAGTGCGCAGGGGGAAGATCTCTTTCCACTTGAAAAATTTCCGAAACAAATTATAGTAGTAATAAATAGTTTAACTAATGAAAACAAAACATAAACCTACAGGGCTCAAATCCTCATAAAATTCATGCCAATTATAAGGGCTTTTAGGGATGAGAAGTATCAAGTTACTTACCATTTGCCATTGCAGATTTCTTGAACAGGGAAAGTCCACAGAACAAATATTAGACTATGACTTTGGGTTTTGACTTTTGATATCTATGCATGATAATGAGCCAACTATTTATAGTTATATAAATTCGAATTTGGGCAATACTATACCTACAACCCAATCTCATAATTTTTTTCCTTAAAACCCCAATGTGATAATTTACAATTGGTCAGCTCACAAATGGGTTTCACCTGCCCAATTGTCAACTATCACGTTAAAATTATGAGAAAAAGTTTGTAAGATTTATTTATAAACCAATATTTATTATTTGGATTGAAGGATTAAAGAAAGACTATCTATATAGTAATTAATTGGTTAGAATTTATCGAAGGCTGTGTGAGAGACAATGTGAACAATAAAAATAATTAGCCTTGACATTTCTGGCTGGTGAGGCTGGCTTTGGTTAAGATTTAAGATGTCTTACTTATCTCAACAAACAATGGTAATGGAGAGATTAAAGAAAGACTAGTAGTTGGTCAATGTAAATGCAGTCATAATTATTCAATATAATGAATCAACATGTTTCATTAATTACTTTAATTCAATCCGGAACCATGTGAACATCATCTAATCTAATGATCTGCTGAGTGTGGCATTAATAAAGAAATTAAACATGTATTCGGCATAAATGAATAGTTTAACAAATGTGAATAGAATCATATATTAGAGAAAGACTCTTTCAAATTAATTAGTCAATAAGTAACAACTAGGAGTATTAAATTAGATTATTACCACTAAGAAATTAAGAGTAGAAAACATTGTTTCAAAACCCATATTGGACCAAATATAAAGTAAATTAATGCGGTACAATTGTAAAGAGTTGATAACTATACATACCGACAGTCATTATTAGAAAAAAAGAAAAAAAACTTTATAGATTGACATCTGTCAAAATTAAATAACACTAGATCAGTAGAATGAGACTGGGTGAGGAAGATCAGTTATTTATATGGCCGGCCCGTAAGCAAGCAGAAACTATTATCAGAGACATCCATTAGAGAGAGAGAGAGAGAGAGAGGGAGAGAGATACCTGGAGAAACAGATACATGTGAAAGTTTCAAGACGAAGAAGTTCGGTGATTAATTTTCGGAGAAAATTTTCAGGTCTTTTCTCTGGTGTTTGTTCTATATATTTTACTCGGTGTTATCTCATTATTCGTCTTTAGTTTCCCATTCAATTCCTGTAATTTGTTTCCTTTACGTAGCTAAGTTACATAGCAGAAAGCCGGGCAGACTCTTCAGAATTTGGAAGATTTAACACTCTTAAGTATAGTTATATAATACGACTGGAAAAAAAGTAGTTTTGAACTTAATATTTTCTATTTCTCATTTCTTTCCTCTAGGTTGAATGAACCATTCTGAATATTTAGATACATGTACAGAGTCTTAGAAAATAATACACACACACACATCGAATCATTCATCCTTTCATATCAAACTTATGAGATGTTGTTTATAATTTGTGATTATTTGCCAGCTTGGTTTCAAATTAACCACGCTGAGAAATCTGATCCGATTGCGAAGATGAAAGATTTAATTTAGTTATGAAAGTTGATTATATATTTATTGTGATCATTAGTTGTCTGTTTACATCCAGGAGTGTGAAGTTGTCGAAGAGTGAATCACTGAGGAATAAGGAAATCCTGTCAGACAATATTTCAGGCTAAGATGAATGGGTCAGGAAGTTCCTCTGAAGATAAGCATCAAAACGGATACCAGGTAGCTATTGATATCAAAGACGATTGTTGTATTTATAAGGTTCCTATGAAACTTAGGAACATAAATAACGATGCTTACACTCCTCAAATTGTTTCAATTGGTCCTTATCACCATGACCAAGAAAAATGGGATGACAAGCAAAGCAAAAAAGAATGGAAATGGGATGACATGCAAAAGCGAAAGAAGATATATCAGGAAGAGTTTCTTAAGAATAATAGCGAGAAAGATAAAATCAAGGACTTTGTCAAAGAAGAGGAGCAACGTATCCGCGATTGTTATGAAGCAAAATTTGATTTCGGTTCAGATGAGTTCATAGAGATGGTTCTGGTTGATGCTGTCTTCATCATTGAACTCTTCTTGAGGTATCACCATGATAAAGATGATACAAGAGATTTTGTACTAAGTAAACCGTGGCTATCAAATGCTATAAAACTGGACTTGCAATTACTTGAAAATCAGCTTCCATTCTATGTCCTGGAGAGGTTATACATGTTAGCCTATGGCAGCTCCACTGGAGAATCCTTCCTTACTCTTTCTTGCAAGTTTTTCGGGTATAAGGAGCCAGGTGAAGAAGCGAAGAAAATTAAACATTTTGTCGACTTGAGAAGACATACTATGTTGGTCGGAGTCGAAATTGATCCAGAGTTACCAAAATCTCCAGGCGGAAAAATTGAAGATTTACCAAGTGCAGTGAAGCTGCATGAGTCCGGGGTGAAGTTTAAGTCGGTCAAAAACAAAGATGCAGTGAAGCCTGGTGAGTCGAGGAGGAAGTGTAAGCTAGACAAAGAAAAAAGTTTACTTAAGATAGAATTTGGAAAGAGAGAGGACTCATGTATTCCAAGGCTTAGGGCAGATGTGCTAAAGATTCCACACCTTAAAATTGAAGATGATACGGAATGTTTGTTTCGAAACTTGATGGCCTTGGAGCAGTGCCATTATCCATTTGAAACTCATATTTGCAACTATATTGATCTAATGGATGCTCTGATCAACACGAGCAAAGATGTGGATTTGCTTGTTGACAATGGAATCATCTCCAATTGTGTGGGCGACCATGATTCAATTAAAGCCATGTTTAACAGACTTTGCCTTGAGGTTACGCCAAGTACTTCCTGTTACGACCACATTTGCGACGGGCTGAAAAAGCACCACGGCAAATGGTGGAATCGCACCAAGGCAACGTTGATAAGTGTGTACTTTGAAAATCTTTGGAGAGGCACCGGAACTGTTGCTGCAACCATACTCGTGCTGCTCACTCTGTTACAAACCATCCAAAGATTCTATCCGGAACTGTTTACGCGTCCAAAATAATTGAAGTTTTGTGTGTTTCAAGTACTTGTATTATTAGAATGTCTCTTCCTACTACTAAGCTTGTAATAACTTCGGATTTGTAGCTTTCATTTATAATAATTTATTATCTTCCATGCTATATGTATTGTTCAACCATTTGCAATATCATTAGCTTACTTAATAAATCATGCTTTCATATACGTTTAAGAATGTGTATTCTGAGTGACCTTAGACATCGCTTACCAATAAGTTTATTTGTATTCATCAGTTCAGTAACACATCAAATTACACCTCAATTTGATTAAAAAAAGAAAAAAAAAAAAATTGGGCTATGGTATCCTGGGACCTGTGTTACAGGAGCAAAAGAACAAAAACAAGAACAAGAACACAAATAAGGTTTAGTTAGACTCAGAGTTAACTACCCAGTGAATAAAGCTTCGGGCGGGCCATAAACAAAATATCAAAGCCCAAAATCAGGAAGCAGGCCCATATACTCGGAGCTCAAGAGCAAGGCGAAAATTAAGAGGGGCAATCAGTCGACATTGCGAGTAGGCAATGGAAACGGAGGTGGAGGAGAGTGGTGGTGGGAATGCAGTTAAGGGAATCCGCACTCACTGGTGGTGGGCCCTGGCAAGCACAGCCCAATTAGGATGGGGTATATCATCTTTCAGAAAAGGCTACGCCGGCGATTCTCGTCTCATGCCCGCTAAAGCGTTCGGTGTCGCCGCCTTGTTTGTCGGTTCCGCCGCCTCCGCCTCCATCGCTTTTCTTCGGGCCTCTGGCATTCACAAGGTGTCAAACAATTCTCTGTACATGATTTTGTTGGTGTTACAAATTACTGGAGTATTAAATATTTTTTTATTTTTTAACAAAAATAAATCCCAGGTGGAAGACCTAATGGAAGTGGGTGCAAATATAAGAACAGGACTTGGTGTCCGTCCTAGAACAAGTGCCCAGTAAGTTGAATCATTTATTTTTCAGTTGAAATTATAATATATGTTTCCTATTAGAAATTGATAACTATTTACTCTTGGTTAGGAAGACAGATGATCTGTGAGAAGCGAAGAGACTGGAGTTTGTAGCAGCTTTGGCATAATTTTGATAGTTGATGCTCTTTTAATGAACACAATCTGTTGTTAATTCAGTGGTTTGTTATAATAAATCTTAGTAATTTTGGTGATTAAAAAGTACTATGTATTCTTCTTTAACATATAGTTAATAGTAATGCATCTATTGAGTACAGGCGATTGTGTTATGGAAAATGATACACTCACCGAAAAAGGGATACTGAAATTATGCACTAATCCGAAAGCATGCACTAATAGTTATGACACCATTATGACCGATAATTAATTATAAATTTTGTTTTTAAAAAAACAGATGATACCAAGTCTGTCCGATGTATAAATTTAATATACTTTTTTGATAACCGTAACATTGCTCTTGTGATATTGTTATAGACTTCTATTCAGTATAAACCTATTAACCCTGTTTAAACACTCCACTTAACGATGTGAGACTTCATAACAAAAAGCAACTTGTTTCTGATTTTATTTTCCATTAAGGTAAAAATTTTGGATCAGAAAACATTCATGAAGGAAAATGTAAAACCAACTGCTTGTTTTATAAGCAATATGCTTAATTAAAAGTAAAGAATTACAGACGTTTTTCTAGCAAATCATATGGAAAAGAAAAAATAGACTTTTCCAGCGTCCCTTGGAACTCCCTTACAACAGTTCTACGCAGACATTCTGGGCTACACTCACGACCATGTCAAGTTGGTACACAATAACCTTAATGCCAACGAAGCCCTTCATATACATCTTTTAGGCAGGCGCTGATGCTGGTGCTGGCATGTAAGACTCCAGCATCAATTGTGCTTTAGAAGGTGAAATGATCTCAACAATCAAGTATGTAAATTTCCACTGCTTGTCCTCTTGATCTTTGAACATCTCAGCAAAAACCTTACCGGCTCCGTGAGGTCCACGGATGTAGAAATTAACCTACACCCAATCAATCCATGCATAAAACAGAAATAAGCACCTNTCCACTTAACGATGTGAGACTTCATAAATCATAACAAAAAGCAACTTGTTTCTGATTTTATTTTCCATTAAGGTAAAAATTTTGGATCAGAAAACATTCATGGAGTAAAATGTAAAACCAACTGCTTGTTTTATAAGCAATATGCTTAATTAAAAGTAAAGAATTACAGACATTTTTCTAGCAAATCATATGGAAAAGAAAAAAATAGACTTTGCCAGCGTCCCTTGGAACTCCCTTACAACAGTTCTACGCAGACACTCTGGGCTACACCCACGACCACGTCAAGTTGGTACACAATAACCTTAATGCCAACGAAGCCCTTCATATACATCTTTTAGGCAGGCGCTGATGCTGGTGCTGGCATGTAAGACTCCAGCATCAATTGTGCTTTAGAAGGTGAAATGATCTCAACAATCAAGTATGTAAATTTCCACTGCTTGTCCTCTTGATCTTTGAACATCTCAGCAAAAACCTTACCGGCTCCGTGAGGTCCACGGATGTAGAAATTAACCTACACCCAATCAATCCATGCATAAAACAGAAATAAGCACCTTTAGATTTAAGTCAAAATTCCAGAGTAATATGCTGTCCACAACTCATGAAGAAAATATGTTTTTTGTTTCAACCTCATTAAAGGATCGGGAAACATATTAAGCTCAGATAATTCATGTGGGAATCCACACGTCATGTATATATTTTGTAAATAGTTGAGTGGCCGTATGACAGGAGTATTGATAAATTATATGTGATAATACATCAGTTCATTAACATCCAGCATTATTTGCATCACTTTGGACTTCAGCCAAAGCTGCACATAATAACATGGTAATCACGCCTGACAAAGGAAAACAGGTGCAAATATAACTAACTTAAAATATTTGACCATTTACCTCAACATGCTCTATGCCAAATTCATCAGTATATACCCTGTTGGGAATACGTTGACGGGCTGCACGATTTCTACTTTCCTGACCATAGCCAGTAATAGGCGATCCAATCCTCACTCGTACCTGATATAAAGCAATTTCAATCCAGGTGAATCCAAAGCACAATCATATGAGTTAAATTAATAACTTGAAACTTCTGTCAGAATGCGATAATAGTTTGTATAATGTTTAAACAGTACAACATCATATGAACCATCACCAACTATTTGCATAAACTAAAGAGCATTTGATTTTTCATATTACTGGTAAATTGCTAGAAGAGAAAGAGAACATATAAGTGTATTCATCATTATTTATAAATATATATCTAAAATTTATAATAGAACAGAGGCTACGGTTCATGGTCTAGTATCGTACTTTATACCTGCAAATTCTGCCAACTCAACAATGTATTCACCTATTTATAAAATGTCTAGCAACTAAATTATCTCTCCTCCTCAGACCAGCCCAATGCAGCAATTAGTACTTACCACTTCTAAAAAATTAAAGGTAACAAGATAAAAACACGATGAATTTGGCAAACCTGACCGTCGTCTTGAATTCTTTTCAGAGCCTTGTTAAAAATTTTATACCTAAAACAAAAAATGGTGCCAAATCAGCATGGAGGTGACAAGAATACACAATTCTTTACCAAAAAACACAATTCAACAAGAGATCTCTTACTCTTTTGGTTCAAATATGAGTTCCTTGAACACACCATATGCAGCAGCAGCAGCAACCCCAAGCCCTGCAAGAATTATAATACTGTAGGAGGCCCCCTCGGTAAATGTTACCGGCTTCTCTGGGATATTGTATGTAGGAGCATCAAAAGGATCCTCAACAGTAGAGATGTCTTTTTTGGGCTGTAAGGGCATTAGAGGACAAGTCAACAGAATTAGAGGAACCTGATGTCAACATATAATCGAAAGGAAAAAATATGGGTGGAACACTTTATCTCCAAAGTTTGAGTGTTGATTTTTCACAAAAAAGAGAAATTTATGACTCTTGTCAACAAAAGTTTTGTTCAATAACAAATCACCAGGAAAGAGTTAAAAATCCAGTAGTTTCTCATTCATTCATTAACAGATAAAGTTCCGAACCAAGAACAGTTATCAACTGGTGACAATATTTTGAGAAAAAAAAAAAAAAAAAAAAAAAAAAAGCTATGCAAAATTGCTTAACAAGTGAACGATGAAAATAAATAGGCTGAACACAAACAAATAAGGGAAACAACTTCAATTAAAAAAAATACCTCAGATGATGTTTCTGACGATTGCTTTGAAGCTTTTGACGCAAAGGACCTAGCAGAACAATGAGTTCTGGTATTTGCTACATGGTTCTCGATTAGTTTATATGGAGAGCGAAAATTCACCATGTATCCTCCAGTACATTGCCCTCTAACCAGAATAGAGATTCCTGCCAAACAAGTCATCAATTATAGACCAGAAAAGGAACTCTCGGCTCCCAATGGAGTCATACGCCCATTAAAAAGGAGACCAGAATGCAGCCCAAATATTTTAGAACAAACATATACAAAAGGAAACATAACAATGCCAGCACCCCGGCGAAGGTGCTCTGACATAAATCTAAGCGAACTCACAAATCTATCACAACATTTTCTTGTACAAAACCTGCATAATCATCACAATAATGTAAACCAAAATAGATAAATAAAAGAATATCAGAGTAGTCGTCACTAACCGTTAGCTCCAAATACATCCTGCAGAATAAAACAAAGAAATTACTCATCAGCCACATACTGAAGAAAAATATAAGTAATGGAAAACAAAATACATTGATGAAGATAATCAGAATAGGCCAACATGTAAAACTGCACGATCAACAAGAAAGTAACATAAAAGTGATACACTAAAAACCAAAAGGCTAAAACAAATAATAGTTCATTAGATTGATTATATGGTCTCCAATAATCTCATCTTCTATGAAAATATAAAGTATAGAAACAAAAAAGAAATGCTCTAAGCTGTATACACTGAACCAAAGACGCCAAATATCTAGCAAATTACAAAATAATTTTAAACAAAAAATTAGGAGAAACCTTAATAACAAAAATATATAGCACGGAGTAAAATAAAAGAAAAATTATCGTTACCCTTTTTGTCAAATATTCCACTGTGGATTTCTCATTGGATGATGATGAAAAACGAGCCAAAGGCCATGTTTTCCGAAGTGATGATATTGCCGATCTTCTAAAATTGTACATCTTTACTGAACTCAAATGGCTTCTTCGATGGCACTATAACCAAAATTTTCCTCAGGTGTTTATCATAAAGTCGAAATAACACAATAAGACCTGATGATTGAATATGACAAATTTCAAAACCCACGAATAATAGGAGTTAATAGAGAGGGAGAAAGGACTGCGTTGGGTAAACGGTATAGAGAGAAAACTCGAAGTAGCGGTTTGGGGTTTATGCAGACACGTGCCATTAGAAACACACGTACGGCAGGATTACTGGATGGGCTCAATCAATAAACCCAATCTTACTGGGCCCGTTTTGATTGGGTTTTGATGTTCTCATACGCACTTTGTGCAAGAGCAGTCCAAAAACAAAAGGGACTTATTTGTCATTTAATTCAGTCTTTTTTTTTTTTTTTCCATAATTCAAAATTAAAGTGCCTAAAAATAATGAATTATTTGTTATTTTGTTCTTATTCGACTGAATTCAGAACTGTATTTGCAGAGAGGCCACATTACAAACTGATGTTTTGTAGCCATGTTTATTGATTGGCTACACCTATGACGCTAATCTGTTCCTTTATATTTTTCTTCTTGTTGCTAGGTTCAGTTAATTGATAGGACACATGGTTTGAGGACCTGAAATTTTCTGAGCACAAATCCAGAAGCATTTGAATTTGAAAATTTCAGTTTCGTAGAAATGTTTCTAACCTGAAAAAGATGAAGGTAACTCTACTGTATTTCTCTTGGCTTAGTACTTTGACAATAATTAGATATTACATTAAATCTTGGTGCCCAAGAGGGGTTTTGTGGTTCTATAGGTTGAAAAACAGAACAGTTTCACACTGTCAATATGGTAGAATAGCTGAATCTATTTAATGAAGGACTAAGCAGTGTATAATCAGCCTTTTCTTTAAAACGAAACACAACATGGTAAAACTTAAAGAACCCAATCGATATAGGTTCTTTTTACAAATCAAATAATTGTTGCTACATCTGGATTTTCAATATCTACTTCTCCACTGAGATAGCTAAAAGCCTAAAAAATGGTTTCTCTGGAACAGGTTTGCATTTGACAAGCCTACCAGTCGGCCAAGATGCAGCTGTGATACTGATACATGCACCCCATTGACCCCATTGACCCCAATTCAGTCTCTCTGTATCTGCAAACTTCTTCAGAAACTCCACCATCAATACTTGAAGAATGATGGTTATTGCGATAATTTCCAAAAATAACTTTTCTTGTGTGTTGGATGATGGCTTGAAACGCTGTCATATTTGCACTTAAATGGAATGATGTCATTTTGATTCAAATTGAAGAAACAATCCTGAGCGTTGATGAAAAGAAGATCTAAAGACTGAAATTTAACCCTAATGTCAACAATATAAAAGCAGAGTTATTTGGCAGTTTACGCATTCAACCATTTTTGTAAATCTCTCTCTTCTTTGTTAAACACCATTTTGATTCTTTAGTGTTTTCAATTTGGGTTGAGTGAATCTTGTAACTTGTTGATTGAGTGACTGAGTCAGGTCATTCTGGGCGTATTGTATACGCTGTATATAGGGATTCGAAGGTGTAATCTCTAGGGTGAGTTACGGGTTGAAGAAGGGGATTTGAGGGATTTGTTTTACTGTGTGTAATCTGTAATCTTGACAGTGATTTAGTGCAGCAAGCTCGTGTGATTCCCGAGTTCAACGTGGATATAGTTTGCTCAAATATAGAGCAAGTGAACCATGGTAAATCTGGTTGTTCTTGTGTGTGTTTATTGTGATTCTTGTTCTTGATCTGTTGTTATTTGGTTGATTCTTTATGTGAGTGGTTATAACATTGTGTATCCCTTTAAAGACACTCTTCTTTTCAAGCTTCCTTGCGGTGAACAGATTGAAGACTTGGCAAAGGACAAATATGTTGAAGAACAAGGTGTCCTTTACCTTCTTATCAACACAAAATATTGATTGGCCTTTGAAATGTAAGGTCAAGAGGATGGTTGTCTGATATAAAGCTTGAGCTAGAAGATTTCTCCACATAATATTGGTGATAAGTGGATTGGTACGGCCCACAGGTGGTTTGTCCATGAGCTCGCTCGTTGGTCGCTCTGTAGCCAAAGCCAGGGCGCCTAATGTGTTCATGATCAAATTCACCCACAACAATTGGATAGCCATTAGAGGTACTTCATCTGCAGAAACTGCTGCTACAAAGTTTATCACAAGAGCAGCAACATTCATTGTAAGATGGAACTGAATGAATTTCTGGATATTGGTATAGACACATCTTCCCCATTTCAAAACTCTGGCTACTGAACCAAAATTATCATCCATGATGACAATATTTGAACTCTCCTTGGCTACTTCAGTCCCTTGAATCCCCATAGATAGTCATATATTTGTTTTCTTCAGAGTTGGTGCATCACATGTGCCATCCCCGGCGACTGCAACCACGTGACCTTTCTGTTTCAAGCACTATACCATGAGCAGTTTATCAAAAGGAGAGGATCTTGCCATCACACATATTTTGTCAACTTTCTCCAATCTCTGCTCCTGTGTGTAGTTTCTGAACTCTTCTCCTTCCACAACTAATCCAATGGGCGTAAGTATTCCACATTCAGTGGCTATGGATTTTTCAGTGAAAACATTGTTACCAGTGATCATCTTGATGTTAACTCCAGCACGTTGGCAGTCTTCCACAGCTTTCTTTACCCTTGGACGACATGCGTCCTTAATACCCACCAATCCTATTAGGCTCAAGCTGTCTTCATTTAACTTTTTAATAATACTATATTTACAAAGAAATCTTATAAAGATTTGCATACAATGTGAGGTAGCAAAAAATGAATAGAAGGGTGAAACAAAAATTCAAACTCATTAAATTCACTTTTCTATTCATTTTTTGCCATATTATTTTGTATGGAGATCTTTGTAAAATTTCTTTGTAAGTATAGTATTATTTTTAACTTTTTAGCTCTTGCTCATCTTCGGAAACATGTTTATGCGCAAAAGCAATGGATCGAAGGCCGCTGCCTGCCATACCTTCAATAATGTGCTCTAACGTTTCCCTTGCACTATTATCCAGATTCTTCATGTTCATAGTAACTCGAACACTGGGCTAGAATCATCTTAGCTGCTCCTTTCCAGTGCAGGTTGATTGTGCTGTCTATCTTCTCCCTCATCATAACGCCACTCCTTTTCTTTTCTGAATCGAAGGCCTCAACTTGGAGAATTGTACAGCTCTGTTTTATTTTCTCCATATCTATGTTGAGATCTTGGGTAGCCCAAGAAAGAATTGCTTTTTCAGTGGGACTACCTGAGATTTCAAAATCAGATCCTGAAGTAGCCTTGTAGACAGAACCAGTTGTATTCAGAGCAACTCCTTGTTAAATCAATTCAACAACCCAGGGAGAAATTGAAGAAGCAGAACCCTCGTTGATAGGTTCCTGGCCAAGCCAAAACTTTGGCACCTTCATCTGGTTAAGCAAGAGAGTCCCTGTTTTATCAATACAAATGACGGTTGCAGAGCCCATTGTTTCAAAGGCAGAGAGCTTTCTCACCATAGCTTGATCAGCCATCATTCTCTTCACCAAATACGCAAGAGTAAGTGTAACAGCTGATGAAAGACCTAGAATTGAAACATCGACAACTCTAATTGCAGCAGCTACAATCCCCACGACAACAGTCACAGTGTTGTCAACCTTTGTTTTGCTTCCAATGAATTTTTGGTTTCCATTCTCGTCTGTTGGATTTCCTGTAAAGTAGTGAACCATCAAGACTAAAAGAACCATGAAAGAAACCGTCCATCCAACTTTGCAGATTGACGAAGTTAGCTTGTCAAGTCGAGCTTGAAGAGGTGTCCGTTCACTGGCGTCAAGACTGAGTTGACTCATCATTTGGCCCCATAGTGTGTTCATGCCAATTGATGTGACTAACATACGAGCACACCCGTCAGATACCGTGGTGCCAGAAAACAAGAATGGATTATGGCTGCTGTTTACTTCAACATGATGACTCTCCCCTGTGATGCTTGATTCGTCTAATAGTAAGGAATGCCCATCCAAGATCAATCCATCAGCAGGAACTTGGTCTCGAATTTCTAAGCATATAATGTCCCCAACAACAATTTCAAATATTGAAATTCGTTGGTGCAGACCGTTTCTAACGACTTCAATTTGGATACCGTTGCTCACTTTTGATAGCTTGTCGAATTTTCTGTTTTGTCTGTAATTACTTATAGCTGAAACAGCGTTGACAAGAAAGACAGCAACAAAAATGTTTCCACCGTCATCCCAACCTTCTTTTGAACCATGCTTTTTTATGCCAAAAGCAAGTGAAAGGACTGCATAGCCTAAAAGACTCAACATTGTTAGATCTTTGAATGCTTCCACAACAAAATGAATGAAGCTTTTTGATGGCTTGTTATAGGTGTTTGAATCAAATGCCTCATGTCGGCGAGCAATATCTTCTTCGCTCCTACATATTCTTCCATCAATATCTGTTTTAAGAGCAGAAGCTATGCCATAAATCCCATCAAACTCATAAAATTTGTCAAGATTTTTGTTCTTCACAGGCTCTTTAAGGCTTGTGGGATCAATCTTGAAGTATTGATCATTATTATCGAGTGGAACATTGACAACAGTAAAAGACGGGGAGCAGGAAACTTCATTACTAGTATTTTTTGTTTTGGACAGAGATAAAAAAGCTCTGGAACAGTAAATTTTGGCAAAAGCTGAGTGCCAATTCCTGTTGGGTTGACTAAGGTCGGAAGGAGCACTAAGTAAAAACTCAATGCAACCCACGTTTGCTTGGAGAGTGGTAGACATTGTGTTTTAGCAAGAATAAAAAAGGATCGAAATTGTTGATGGAAACGAGAGGCAATGAGAAATGGTGCTCGGATTATTACTTCCTAGGATTATATATAGGGATGAGATGTGGAATACAATTCGAATGAAAGTTCAGAGGTTGTTTCGTTTTTTTATTAATGTGGAAATCTAAGGTAACAATTGCCGCGTTGATTGGATAAGAGACAATACCAATTAAGATGTGCGTGTATTGTGTTAATGAACAAGCAGATCGTTTGGATAAGAGAACATACTAATTAAGATGTGCGTGTCTTGTGTTATTGAAATTGCTAGATAGCTAGTGTGGTGATGTGGCTTATATTTGCCAGGTGGAGTCAGCCTTTCTATAAAGAAATAAAAAATGGCCTGTGCGACGTCGTTTTTGTCCTTGGATCAATTTTCAGTTTGTGTCATTTGATCCGTTTCTCTTGCAACAACTTTATTCTCATTCTCACCTCATTGGAAGCATGTATATAAAGAGATTCTAGCGCTTTGTTCATCTTTGTGGAGAAATTCAAGACAGGTGGCGGTCGATCTTGAGAGAAGTGTTTGTGTTTATAATGGGGTGGGCTGGTGAAGGAAAGGAGCAGCTCTCATAGAGAAATCTAGGGTCTGATTTTTGGGTGTGTTCTTTCCTTGTACTCTCTGTGTCAATTCTTCTTTGTACTGCTTCAAATCATGACTTGTCGAACAACGGTAGATATTAGTCGCGACGAGCTTATGCTGGGTCGAATTTATGTTGGGTCGTGCTGATTCTGGGTCGAACTATAATTCTGCAAGCTTATGGGACTTTCGAGCTTCCGGCAAATCACACATAAGATCTGGCCCCAGTGTTTGGAGGTCATGTTGAACTTCGAAAACTGAAGTCTTGCGATTTGCCTCTTATGCCCGAAACCTCTTTTACAAAGTGTATCGTGGCGTTGATCCAGTACTCGTGGCTTGTATTCTGCATAAACTGCCCCCTTAGGTGGAATTTTTTTCCAAAGCATCTAACACTAAGTAACAGATAAATAATCGCCTTCTGCAGAATCGTATCCCTTGCGGTAAATCTTTATTTTCCTGAAATCAGAATAAACTATTAAGAAGAAGAAACGACACTTATTTAAGCATGAAGCTAGCTAGGTTTGTAATTGTAGTAGCACACCATTTTCTATCGCCAACAGCATACTTATTAGAATAGTGGACCTTTTTATCTGATTTTGAGAAATTTTCAATCTTCGAAGTCAGAATTGCTTTATCAGTAGGTGGCTTGAGCTTGACCATGGAAAGAGTTTCTCCTTTGTGAGTTGGTTTTATAACAAAAACTTCAGCTCCAAAAGCACAGCAACCATTAACAAGGTATCCCTTTGATGAATTATAGAAATCTTCAAAAGAAACCAGTTGGTCGAAACCCCATTTAGTCTTCATCTTGTGGAAGCGTCTTACTTTTCCATCAACATCTACACCACAATACATGTACATATTTTATATATAAAATTAAAAAGTCAAAAGAAAAATGGCACGAAAATGTAAAAATTACCTTGAATGGTCAAGTATTTGTTATGTATCTGATCGAATACAAACAATTTAAAGTTTACGAAAACCTCCCAATTATCAGAAAAAGATTCGACGCCATCTATTTCCAAGTAGAGAGAAATATGGCAGTTTCCATTCCTTTTCTTGTTTCCATCTGGATAGAGAACCAGTCTCCTGAATCAATAATTCCATGCCACCAGAACAATAACTAATTAGTAAACTGGATCCATCTGAATAAATGGATATATAGAGCTGATAGGAACATACCATTTGTAGCTCCCGGCTTCAAAAGTATCAGATTCATATTTTTCTTTCTCTGATTTCACCAGAAGAGAAAATGACTCTGTTTTTAGTGTGTAGTGCGCCGGTGGAAGATCTCTTTCCACTCGAGAAATTTCTGAAACAAATTACAGTAGTAATAAATAATTTAACTGATGAAATCAAAATATAAACCTACAGTGCTCAAATTCTCATAAAACTCATGCCAATTATAAGGGCTTTTAAAGATGAGAAGTCTTAAGTTACTTACCATTTGCCATTGCAGATTTCTTGAACAAGGAAGTCCACACAACAAATATTTTGGGTTTTGATATCTATGCATGATAATTAGCCAACTATTTATAGCTGTATAAATTCGGATATAAGGAATGAAAAAGACTATTTATATTAATTAATTGGTTAGAAGTTATGGAAAGCTGTGTGACAGACAGTGGGACTAATAAAAATAATTAGCCTTGACATTTCTGATTGGTGAGGCCGGCTTTAATTAAGATTTAAGATGTCAACTACCTTTGTTTGGTGAATGATTCGATATAACCATCGGAACTGGTCGGTAAGTCATTGAGTTGGCCGTCGTTGACCATCAATGGCGGCCATTTCTTTTATCATCATTGACGGCCAGATCTGGCCATCAACGACCGAAAAAGGCAAGATCTGGCCTATAGCAACGGTCGGCCATATCGACGCACATACGGCCAGATCCGACCGATCTGAGTCATAACGCCAGATTTTGACCAGATTCCGACGGTGGTGGCCGGAATTTGGCACTGTGGGTGGGTGGGGGTGTTTTTGTCATTTTACAAAAAAAATTATATATTGGGGTATTTAGTTAAATTAGTAAACTTATAAGGTTTTTTTATAGATTTTTAAATTTTATCTCGTAATAATAACTCTATCCAACTATCCAATACTATTCCCAAAATCCTATCCAAAATAATAAACCAAACGCATCCTAAGATGTCTTATCTCAAGAAATATTAATGGTAATGGAGAGATTAAAGAAAGACTTATAGTTGGATAATGTAAGTGAAGTCATAATTATTCAATGTAATTAATTAATGTGTTTCATTAATTACTTTAATATAATCCGAAACCTTTTGAACATCATCTAATCTAATAATCTGCTGAGAGTAGCATCAATAAAGAAATTAAGCATGTCTTCAGCATAAAGGAATAGTTTAACAAATGCAAATAGAATGATATATTAGAGAAAGACTCTTCCAAATCAGTCAATGTAATTAAATAAGTAACAGTTTGGAGTGTTAAATTAGATTATTACCACTAAGAAATTAGGAGTAGATAGCATTGTTTTAAAATCGAGACTGGACTACCCAGTTCGACCGTTTGACCGAGAAGGACCCTTATCCAATCTAGATATATCATAAATCCGATTATAACAATTGGACCGGATTGACCCGAGGTTGAATCGGCGGAACAATGTTGAATCGTCGGTTCAACTGTTGGATGAGAGAACCAAACTGATGACGTTAGCATGACATAATAAAATTTTGAAATTCTAATAAATTTCTAAAATAATTTCATCCAAATCCAAATAACAATAAAACATAAATAAAATAAATCGAAAATCCAAATTTAAAGAAGAAATGATAAATAAAATAAATTTAAAATCCAAATCCAATTACTAATATGTCATGCTGACATCATCGTCCACCGGTTTTAGACCGGCCTACCCGGACCGGCCTCTTGACCTGGTCAAGGCCCGGTCCGGGTCTTACTAACATTGTTGAAACTTGATTTATCAGTGAAAAGAATAAGGGGCATATATGTAACTTGAATAGCTAGTTTGAATGTGAGAAAAATTAGGGAATGTGGGGTGTAATGGCGAAGGGTAGTGGCAGTAACCGTCTTAACCGTCACTTCAAAAACAAAGAAAGAAAAAAAAAAGTTGGAAAATAGAACACAAAAAATTGTACTGAATGTTGGTTTTTCAATCAACAATGGAAGGAAAAAGAGAAGAAATAAGGAAAGGGCCATGGAAAGCAGAGGAAGATGAAGTGTTAATAAACCATGTGAAAAAGTACGGGCCAAGAGACTGGAGCTCCATTCGATCCAAAGGTCTTTTACACAGAACTGGCAAGTCTTGTCGTCTTCGTTGGGTCAACAAACTTAGACCCAACTTGAAGAAGTAAGTTATGTTACTTTTTTACTTTTAGTTTTTGCCCATGCATTATGTTACATGAGAAAGTGATTAATTTACTTGTTTATTGATTCGGTTCTGTTTAGTGGGTGTAAATTTTCACTGGAGGAAGAGAGAGTGGTGATAGAATTACAGGCACAATTTGGGAACAAATGGGCAAGAATAGCCACGTATTTGCCTGGGAGAACTGACAATGATGTCAAGAATTTTTGGAGTAGTAGGCAAAAGAGGCTGGCCCGAATTTTGCAGAATTCAGCAACACCCTCCTCTTCCCACTCCAAATCCCACAAAACTAGTAGGGAAGTTTCTACTTTTCATGATGTTCCCACTTTACAGGTAAATTATTTGCATCCATTTATTTTTTTGTTCTTTTCAAGTAATTTTATGGATTTTCATTTGCATATTTGTAAGCAATTTCATCGGTTTAATTTTATTGAAATACTGGTAGCCAGTACATGCCTAAGTTTTTAAGATATCTCCACTCGTTTATATGACGAGAGGTTCAGAATCTGCAAAATTGGGTCTTTATAGTGTCTAGACAAACTTTTAGTTAGACATATGTGCTTAATGTATGAATTTATTACTTCCTGTCTAAGGTCTGTAAGTAGTTTGACTCAATGATTCGCTGACATGTTTAGTTACAGAATTTCGGTAATGAAGGACAAATTAAAAATATGCATCATGCTGGTTGATTTATGTGATCTTTGTTATGTGTTTATAATACATGCGTTTTGTTTTTCACTCTTAGGCTCCAAAATTCACTTCCTCAATGGAGGAAGAGTTATCCTCAAAGGCTCCGTCATGCTCGTCATCCAACATGGAGAAGGCCGGAACTATTAAGATGGTTCCGCTGCCAGATTTGGTTAATCCTAAGTTGCTTCATTTCGACGGCCATTTTGAGCTTGCCCCATATGAGAATTATCCTTGCACTGATTCTCAATTACAGATTCCATTTCCCAACATTCTACAACCTCAACAAGACCTTACATTTTCACCAGATAGCCAAGAGCTGTTGGCTGGGCTAGAGGACCCTCACTTTTTCGATGTGTTTGGACCAGTAGATGCTCCTCAACTTACTAATGGAGCACAACTTCCTGTTGAAGAATCATTTTTAAAGCCAGTGAGAAGTTTTAGGAATGATGTCATTGTCAAGGAAGAATATGACAACCCAGTGAACCCAGATGCCTTCTTTGATGATTTCCCAACCGACATGTTTGATCATATTGAGCCACTTCCCAGCCCATCGGACTGGTGATTTATTGACTACAAGGCTGGTGTCATGTCCGGGCTGATGATGAACATTTGATTAGTTTCTTGCGCTTCAAAATTTGATGCAAATCCTTGTGAACTGGTAATTCTTGTAACTTTTATTCTTTGTATTAAGACTCTGTGATCTACATTAAATGATAGCTTGTCACTTAGGTGTTACAGTAAATGATAATGTGTTGGGTATGCCAAGTGCCTGCTGCGTGCCATTATAACCCATTTTCGCTTAAATTTAAATGACTGATCGAACCACGTTTTAAGTTTTGAAAGAGTTGGAGATGCCTATGAGGCTTGTTAATTTCATTTGTGCGTATACAGTCCTCATCTCATGCGTTAAGTTTAGGAGTAACCTACCATCATTCTCTTAAGATTTCAAATATTAAAAGAAAAAGCCATAACTTGATAAGTTGGCATTGAGAGGCTTATGCAATTATTTCAATATTCCATCAACTAATAATCCATGTAAGAAATAAAATTTTCCTTCATCAAGTAAAACCAGTAGTCTAATAGATTTGTAATGTCGATCAAGCTGACAGGAGAGATTATGTCAATGCCCAACATACTAAAATTAGGGCTCAAGTCATGCTTCCAAAGCTGTTTGACATGCAAAAAGTTATACATGATCAAGCAAGGAACCATCCCCCACAACATAACTTACACCAGTTTTACCATGATCCGTATAAACCTCAAAATCTCCAGCAGAACATGAATCATTTTTGCTCTCAACTGGTCTTTTTAGTTCCACATATGCACAATAGTCAACTTCATAGACAGTTTTGTCCTTTGCAAATGCAGAGACTGCAACCCCAACTGCTTCCCCTGCATTTGCAAGAATTGCAGTTCATACTTTAGAAGAATGTTTGATAATCACATGAGCCGAAACAACCATATTATGACAGATTGAGTAGTTTTTCCAAGACTACATGAAGGCAATAATGCAGAGAGAGGGCCTGTTGCTTTCTGTTCAAATTGGTCATTTCAAGTGCTAGGGAGACTTATCCTGGTTATTTGTTATCAGGGACGGTACGGCCAACAATAGCACAAGAATAATAATGAACACAAGTACACATTAAATCATTTGGTTTTTGTTTACCATGCCAAGAATGAAACTTACCATGTGTGACTAGCAGCAAGTTTTCAGAAGGATACTTATCAGCTAGCGCCTTGATAATTTGAGCATACCTATCCCTTGCACCACCCACCGTCTCTTCCCATTTTGGCAACTAGAATTTTCTCAAGCAAAGAACCCATGTAAGGTGAAATAACTGTGTGCTTGCAAACATCCACACACAAAATGCTAAGAGATACCTAATTTTGAAGCAAACTGAATGAGTGTAATGTGTTTACCTCTTCATACACTCGTGTAGCAGAAGTATCAACTGTTCCGGCTGGGAGCATAGCTTGAAGCTCGGAGGCATTGAAACCAAAGTTCCCATCTTTAGGAGCTAAATTAGCTCTGATGGCTTGCCTGTTCAACATCTCGGACAATCCATACTCAATAGAGACCTGCAAATATAAGGAAATTGTTCAAATTTTAAGTATGCATAACCTAACGAAAAGTGATTCATCCATTCAAAGTTCAAACTAAAAGAATGTAACTTCATACACTTAACTATAAATCTCAATTATAGCATCTCTTAGTGGTCAACCAATAACCAGACATAAATTACATCTTTATCTGCCCAGCAAAATATACAAATAAGCATAGCAACATTAAACATACAGTATAGAGTGCCTACTAGATGAAACAGTCATTAAACCAAAAGAAATATACATATACAAATAGAAACAACCAAAAAAAAAAAAAAAAATACATATCACTCGATCTCTATAATCAATAATATATGGCTATAACTCAAGAGTAAAATTGTAAATAAGTGATGTGATTTGTGACCTTGAGCTTGGAGGGATCGATGGAGGCTACGTCTTTAGAGGACAAACTATTGGGATCATCATCAACGGCGCAGAGAGCATATACAACCTCGTGCGCCGTCTGGATGCAACGAAGAAAAGGTGAAACGAAGACACGGTGGATTGGGAACCCAAGGCCGTTTCGGATCTTCCGACCCGTACAGAATGCCCTAACCCGACCCTCCTCTACTAGGTGCGGGTCCCACGGTCTAGCTGCTGTCATTGTCCACAACGGTTCAAAGTTGTCGACGCGGTCTCCGTGTCTCATTACGACGACGTTTTGGAGAAATTGATGGGAGTCTCCTTGCTGGTTGTTCTGCGATTTCTTGGTTTGTGATGAATCCATTTGTTCTTGAAAAAATAATGTTAGGTTTCAGATTCCAATCAAATGTTATGTATGTAGTAAGATTCAGACAAAAATATAACCCTAAGGTGGGTGGTTATGTTGTTGCAACAGTGTTGGAGATAAACAGAAGAGGACATTAAGTTAGGGGATTTGTTATTTTTGGTTATGGCAATTGGCACATGCACTTTCGGCTCTTGGGAAGAAAAAGTCGGTTAAAAGTTGGTGCTTGTGTGAAAAGCAAGTATGCGCTGTAAAACAGGTGTAGTGGGTGAACCCAGGCCATGCTTTTGGGCTTATCTCGGCCTCTGTTTTATCAGATTAGACAGGCTCACTCAAACAACCTTTTAGATCTCGCTTGAAGCCCCCACAAAAATCTTTTCGCACCCTAGTTAAATGAAATTTATCTTCTATCCTATATAAAATGATATTACACTGGTAACCCTTTCTTATAAACTTTCTTTTATAATTTCGATTTGATAGCTCGTAATTAATTAATAAGATCTATATGGAACCCATTGTAAATTATTTAGTCAAACTATCAAGAATGCATTATACAAAAAATATGATGGAAGTATTCCTTATGAAGAATTAAGATATGGAGATTTAATTAGTTTTATTAACAACGAAGCCTTAATAATTTGCACCGATTTAAAATTAAAAGCTAAATTAAAATATGACTTAAAACATAAGAAAACAGAATTAAGTGGATTTTGTAGTCAATACGGTTATGAAAAAAATATTATCTCTCTCTATTAAGTACAAAAAAGATAAAAAACAAAAACAATATAGAAAACCTTATTACAAAAGAGATTATAAATATGATAAACCTTATAAAAAGAAAAAAAAATCCTCTAATAAGAAAATATCCAAAAAACCGATCACATGTTGGAAATGTAAACAACAAGGTCATCATGCAACCAAGTGTCATAAGAAAAATGAAATTAAAAAATTAGAAATAGATTCAAAATTAAAACAACAATTATTAAAAATTATTCAAACAGACTCTGAAGAAGAATCTAGTTACAATACAAATAATGAAGATATGATTTATCAAATTCAAGAAAATACTTCTGAATCAATGAGTGAGTCTTCACAAGACTCTGATGATTGTGATTGCATGGGGCCTTGCTACTGTGCAATGAGATCGATAAATATGATATCAACATCTAGACTTAAGCCAATAAATATTATCACAAAATCAAAAGAATTTTTATTAGATATTATTGACAAAATTAAGGATGAATATATTAAAAGAGAATATTTATTAAAACTTAAAGAATTATTTTTAGCCAAAATAAAACAAAAAGATGTAGATTCTTACAATTTAAAAGACATATTAAAAAGATTTGACAAATCCACATAAGTTACTATAAGTGACTTGCAAAAGGAAATCAATATTCTAAAAAATCAAGTTAAAGAATTACAAAACGATAATATTGAAATCAAGACAGATTTATTATGCTTAAAAGTCTTCAAAGAAATTATAAGATAACCACCAACCTTAAAATCATAATTACAAATTAAAGAAATTGAAGAATCATTCATTAATAAAATCTCTTCTCAAAAAGGCAGATTCAGATAACACCAAATCACTCAATGATCAGATGAGGATCGTTATTTTTTAATATTTCAGAACCAAATCAATTATAAGTTTAATAAAGGACAATTAATCAATACCATCTTTACCTGATTTTCAAAATGTGCAATCAATGATCAAGACTTTTTAAAAGTTTTGTCTTTTTCACTGTCAAGATGTCAGGCTAGTTTGAAAATTTTCCAATTTGAAAAGTAATAACCCGAAGGTTTTCAAAGTTGCAGGGAATCTTGACAGTGAAAAAGACAAAACTTTGAAAAAGTCTTAGATCATTGATTGCACATTTTGAAAATCAGGTAAAGATGTCTTGAATAACTGTAACTCATAATTAATTTGGTTTTGCAACGTTAAAAAATAATCATCCTCATCTCAATCGGTCGGTGATTTGATATTGTCTGAATATGTCTTTTGAGAAGAGAAAGATCCAATTATCATAATAATTTTGCTCATATCTTAAGGGATTTAACATTGCGCCATCTCAATCAGAAGTTTTATTTTTATGTTAAAAATATTGATTGTTGTTGGGGCTAACATATTGGAGAGTGTTAAGAAATCTATATCTACACAGTTGGTAGACTAGCATTTTGGATGGAAAAACTAGGCCACCATTTAATGAGGAATTTTTTTTGTAATTCCCTGAATTTTGGAGGAGGAGGTGTAGTGATATGAAATTGTCAACTCATTATCCAAGCAAGTAAGAAATTACTAGAAAATGCAAGTAAAAGATCTTCACTGGTGTTGAAATTTTGGGCAAATAAGTGATATCCTTCCCAAACCGAAGAGGGGAGGATTTTTTCATTTAAACCGAAAAAATTAAACTATTATTGGAACCATTTTGGAAAAGTTTTTTAGACAAGTTTTGTCAAATATAAAAAACCAAGAGTGTGTTGTATGTGTTAGACAGAAAGCATAAAACCAGGCTTTTTGATAATCTTTATAAGAAAATTCTTGGGGAATAAAGTTTTGAGAAAATGGACGTTCTTGATAAATTTCAATGCGCCAATCTTGAGGTCTCAAGACTTTTTTGATTTTGCATTTTGAAAAAGCAATTCTATTTGAATTATTTCTATCTAGATTATGCGTAATTTCTACTGAATCAGTATCAACTAAAATAAATTCACAAAATGTTCTTGTTTTTAATAAATCATCATGAATAAAATAAAAATCTAGAGGGAAATTTTTTGATAAAGTTTCTTGCATAGTTTGTCCCCAATATTCGAGTTCAACAATGCAAATTGATTGAGTTATATCTTTCTCAATGTATTGAAAAGTGGGATTAATGTTGGTAGGTTTTGATGGAGAAGGTGAATAAGATGGTGGTATTGTAAGGGCTTGTTGGTAATTTCTTAGTGGTTGGTAATCTTTTGGTGGTGATGAAGAAACATATTATTCATCTAGAAGAGTGAACCGGTTTGGTTGGGTGATAATAGTTTTCTGTTTTTTGGGTTCTGAAGATTTTGATTGTGAAGGTTTTGTTTGTGGGGTAATAGGTTGTTAAGGTGATAGCATCGCATAAGATGCTTTTGATTTTGGATTGTTTTTGGGTTTGATGGGAGTGTCCATCTTTTCCTCACTTTCTCTCAAAAACTCTGTGTCCTGAAAGTTGTTGTGATGAGAGAGATTATTAGAGGAAAAACTTTTTGACAACGTAATTTTGAAACTTTTGAAATCTTAATGCAAAAAGTTGGATAAAAGGGCCCTTCACTGGTCAAGATCTCCTAGCTAGCTCCTTGTCAGCAGACGATGGATGCTACTATTTTTGCAGTATTTAGAACCATTTCCCTGGCCTATTTACTGTGTGGATCAGATCCATCAAATGTGGTGTATCCCGCCGTTCCTGATGGCACACCCTTATGGATCCCCATTAAAAATAACGAGTGAACGGTCTTGAAGCAAGTGCCTCATCCTTCTATTTCGCGCCTCTACCTGCTCTTCTTCCATCTTTAGGGCCTTATCCCTTATTCCGATTGACAGGATCGATCTTCGCTGCCTCCAGCTTGGATTGGAAGAGTCTCTCCCTCAAGACCCTTGCTAGTAAGATTCCACCGCTTCTGCTAGCATCTATCATGCCAGCCAACAAAGGTGAAGACATGAGACTTGTTCTCATCTATCATATCTCCTTAACCGGAATCCCTTGTTTATACATCCCATGGAGCAAAGCAGCTGTCCCCTCGGGATTAACAAAGTGAGTTCGATTTCATAAGTAGCCAAGTGCCTTTTTGTAATGCAAGCATCCAAAATTTTGTGGTAATCGAGCCATTCTTTTGTAGGGACAATTTCTAAACTCTCTAATTTAGTAATAGTATTTATCTTAGATATTGAAACATTTTTTAAATTATTAATATCTTTTATTAATGGTGGATTAACGAATTCAAACATTACATCCTGTCCTAAAATATTGGTTATAATTTCTTTATTGGTTACGTTAAAAGGGTAAATTTGTGTGATAAAAGGAGCACCTAATATAACATCTTGATCTAAATCTTTTGCTATAATAAAAGTACTTTTAATACAAAAAATTTGTATACATATGTGTGCATTAGAAAGTTTATAATTAATGTTTAATTGTTGACCATTGGCTCCATATAATATTTCTTTTGTTTTTTCATAATATTTTGTTGGAATTAATCATTCTCTTATACAATTTTGATCTGCTCCAGTGTCCACTAAAGCTTGTGTAATAATATATAATTCATGGTTAATATTGATCCTAATGTAAACATACCATTTTTGAAATTGAATTCTAGAGATTTCATTAATGAACGATTCTTCGGTTTCTTTAATTCGTAATTATGATTTTGAGGTTGATGATTGTCCTATAGTTTCTTTGGAGGCTTTTAAGCATAATAAATCTGTCTTGATTTCAATATTATCGTTTTGTAATTCTTTAACTTGATTTTTCAAAATATTGATTTCTTCTTGCAAGTCACTTATAGTAACTTGTGTGGGTTTGTCAAATCTTTTTAATATGTCTTTTAAATTGTAAGAATCTAGGCTCCGTTTGGTTCACTTTTTTGTATTTTTTCGAAAAGTTAAAAAAAGTTGAATTGAGCGGGTATTACGTTGTAGGATTTGGAAATTAATAAAAATACCACATATGTTTGTTTATTTACTAAACATCCCTATAATAAAACTTTGAAAGTTAACAAAAACACCCATAACCCACCCATTGAATAATCACAGCCGGCCACCACCGCCGAAGGGTGGTCGGAGTCGCCGTATCGTCGCATGACCGGCTGGATCTTGCCGTTCGTGCGCCGATACGGCCTTTGCCGGCCAAATCCGCATTTGCTCGTCAACGACGACCATATGTTGGCTGTCGTTGACGTCTGGTTACAGCCAAAGATCTGGCCGTTTTGGCCTTAGATCTGACATTTTCCGACTAGATCCACTGTGGATCTGGCCGGAAAAGGCTAGATCGACGCACTATCGGCCAGATTCAGCCGGTAGTGAGCCATTATATCAGATTCCAGCCAACTTTCGATAGTGGTGGCCGGAATCTGGTATAATGTGGGTTTAGGGGTGTTTTTATAATTTTGAAAAAAATATTTAGGGGTATTTAATTAAATTAACAAATTTAGGGGGTTTAAAAAAAGTT